CCTTTAGCCCTACTCAGCCCGTGTGGGTTTGGTCAACAAAGCTCTACGACCACATTCACAAAGTTCCTATCACTTGGACAGAAGGGACTCGATGTAGAAAGAAGAGACAGACAGACTCAGCAAGTACCATGGGGTGAGTGCACATCCATAGGGCGAGGGGATAGGCTGAAGGCTTGGCGAGAATATACCAACTCCAGCTTGGTCAATTTCGTGGTCAACAGCCCCGGTCAACGCTGGTCAACGCTTGGTCAACTCATCGCTCAACACCTTGGTCAACACCAGACAACTCGCCGGTCAACTCTCCGATCAAAATCTTGGTCAACCCTTCGGTCAACACCTTAGTCAACCCTTGGTTCGGCTATGGCTGCCGACCTCTTTCTCCCTCGCCAATCTTCCCTGTCCTCCTTCTCCCTCCTTCCTTCTTTCTCTTCCTTTCTCGCTTCACCCCGGCTATGGCTTCCTTCACTCTCGTTGTCCCTCCTTCCTTCTCCCTAGCTATGTCTTCTTCTCCTTCGTCTCTCCTCCCTTCTCCTTCGCTTCACCTTCCTCTCTCTTGATAACCCTGTGTCCGAGCTCCGCAGCTATGGCCGCTTTCTCTCCTGGTCCACACAACAATCTTGTATCGCTCCTCTCTCTCTCTCTCTCTCTCTCTCTCTCTCTCTCTCTCTCTCTCTCTCTCCCCTTCTTCATCGTTGTCTTCTGTGCAGGTACGCGGCACCTCACTCCGCAGCGCAGCTATGGCGGATCTTCTCCGATGGTGCACCTTGGCTATGGCACCTAACTGGCGTGGGCATCTCCTTCCCGCTGGCAACGACGACGACGTGTGTGGTAACGAGAACCAGCTCCGATACCAATGCAGTCAGACTTGCTTTCACTTCCACTTCACATACATGCAAACAGGTGGCGATTCACACAGGCGCAGTGCGCCCACTCAAAGCTCAGAGATATGGACAACGAGAACGCAGTTCAGATGCAAGTTCACTTCAACAGGCTATGGCGCAACAGCGCCTGTACTTCCCAACTCTCGTCACCTGGTCCAACACCACTGTTCACACGCACTCACCTCTCCTCAACCCTGGATCACCCTGAATACCACCACGCACACACACTCAGCCTATCTTCTTCCTATCGCGGCTATGATCGCTCTGCCTCTACTGCGTATGTATACGCTCTCTCCCTTCAGCCCACTTTGTCTTCGGGCAACCTGCAGACCACCTTCGCACAAGACGCTGTAGCAGTGCTTCCGCATGGCTTACGCAGCGAATGAATGAATGGCTGGGCGCTGCCTCTTGATTTATACTTCTGTAACTCGTTGGTCTGCCCCTTTCCACCAGGCCCTTGGTAAACACAGTCCCACACGGTACTTGCTGAACTGGACTGCGACTGACTGGGACCGCTACCGCCCGGGGTTGTACTGCTGACTCGACGCAGTCGCACTGCCGACTCAGTGCAGTTGGGCTTACCACTTGCCAACTTGCCTCTGGCTAAACGTGAGACACTTTTGAAAGGCCACTTCCGGACCTTCCGGAAGTCTGTGGACTTGGCCTTTCGCATACTGTAGCAGCTACGACCTTGACCTTTCAGGACTGTAGCAGCTATGACCTTGACCTCTCAGAACACCTGCAGCTACGACCTCTACAAAGTTGTAACCCCTACTTGACAGACCTACAGATCGAACCCCTACATCTCCACAGACCTATGGCAGACATACGCCCAACAACTGAAACACAGGTCACGGGTTCAAACACTCGGGGGTCAACTCGATACTTTACATGGGCAAGGTGAGGTCTGGGGATCGAACTCTAGGGCCCGCATGTATGACTGCAAAAAGGTGAAAACCGTTTCATATATATACACACACACACACACACACACACACACACACACACACACAGAGAGAGAGAGAGAGAGAGAGAGAGAGAGAGAGAGAGAGAGAGAGAGAGAGAGAGAGAGAGAGAGAGAGAGAGAGAGAGAGAGAGAGAGAGAGAGAGAGAAAGAGAGATGGAAAATCATACTGTCATCAATTCTGCTACCATCTTGCTTTGCTATTAACATTTTTTTTACTTTTTCGGCACGTTCTTTTTCGGTTTCTGTCTTTTTTTTTTTTTGTGTGTGTGTTCGTCGTCGTTTTGTTCGTGCACGACGAGCACTGCTCCGTCCATTGTGTGTGGTTTGAGTGCAGATCATGTGTGTTGTGCTCAGTGTTATGGCTTGCGTGGCTAATGTATCATACCCGAAAGACCACCTGGTCTACATTCAAAGTGCAGGCACAAGCGAAAGAAAGATTGTCCATCCAAAAGGTTATGCAAAGAACAGAGCAAATATGTGTACCAACATGACGAAGGAAGCAATTGAACATCATACATGAACACAATCACGTAGATAAATTGCAAAATTTTAAAATAATACGAAAAGTTGACTGTTGACCAAAAAAAAAAAAAGATATATATTGTCACATAACTATGAACTARAAGAGCGCAATTTGCGAAACAAACGGCAAAAATAAAAAAAGAATAAAAAGTAAAAAAAAAAACAAGACAAACATGAAGGGCACAGTGAAACCATTCATTTTACTCATTCTTCTTTTGAATCCCCTTTCACCGTGCCTCTCACGTACAAGGCTCACCACGTTGATGAAGATATATATAAAACAGAGCTGCCCAGTAAACCGTAGGCAGAGAGGGAGAAGAGGACAACAAACGAGGGGCTGTGGCAAACCGTTTCGTCGGAGTTTCACCAACTCATCAGGAGGCTGAACCCTCAACAGTCTGCAGAATCCCCTAACTGATTACACTGTAAGTGATAATCCACCTTAACCCCGGCTGTGGTTACGCATCAACGACTGCCCGACAACTGATACCCTGAGGTGGGCACCAACCACTGCCCTCAAGGTACCTGTGGCAAAAGTCAAAGCAGACTATCACTCACCCACACCAGATGGAAAACTCTACAGACTGTCGGTTCACACCCCATCACAAGCAAGCAAAACATCCACGAAACAAAGAAAGGTCTTTCACAGCCAAAAAGTACACTCCAGACACGCCGCTGGCACTAGAGGCACAGTATGGCCGCGTAGTGACGGCCCGACCACTGCCACTCGACCTGACCAGAGAATACCGTAGCAGGGTGCTAGTGAAGTCGTGGTATATATAGTCAAACAAAGCTGCCTGGTAAACCGTAGGCAGAGAGGGAGAAGAGGACAACAAACGGTGGGCTGTGGCAAACCGTTTCGTCTGAGTTTCACCGACTCATCAGGAAGCTGAACCCTCAACAGTCTGCAGAATCCCCTAACTGATGGCAAACCGTTTCGTCGGAGTTTCACCGACTCATCAGGAGGCTGAACCCTCAACAGTCTGCAGAATCCCCTAACTGATTACACTGTAAGTGATAATCCACCTTAACCCCGGCTGTGGTTAAGCATCAACGACTGCCCGACAACTGATGCCCTGAGGTGGGCACCAACCACTTCCCTCAAGGTACCTGTGGCAAAAGTCAAAGCAGACTATCACTCATCCACACCAGATGGAAAACTCTACAGATACACACACACACACACACACACACACACACACACACACACACACACACACANAGAGAGAGAGAGAGAGAGAGAGAGAGAGAGAGAGAGAGAGAGAGAGAGAGAGAGAGAGAGGGTTGACGAAGGGGAGAACAGTGAAATGACACAATGCTGCCATTTCGTAAAAATGGACATCGTTTATTTTTTGAACGAAATTGAAACCGAGTTTTATGGCCGAAAACTCGTCCAAATTTGCTGCTCCTGAGGGTCCTGCGTTTTTAAAACGCTGGACCCCCTGGATGCATATGGACTTAAAAAAAAAAGAAAAAAAGGGCTTCCCCCTGGATGTATATGGACTTATCTTGAGACCATATACATCCAGGCGGTCCCCCCTGGAATCCTGGATGAATCTGGTCTCAAACAGACCCTTCATCGTTGAGACCAGATACATCCAGGCGGTCCCCCCTGGATGTCATCCTGACAAATGTCTTCGCACTCAAAAAGACCCTTCATCGTTGAAATGTTTCTTGCACAAGTCTCTCTCTCTCTCTCTCTCTCTCTCTCTCTCTCTCTCTCTCTCTCTCTCTCTCTCTCTCTCTCTCTCTCTCTCTCATGACTTCCCTGCCTTCACCGCTAACGAGAGAGGGGTCACGACTGATCCAAAAATCATGCAACTGATCGAGATCTCATCTGCGCCTCAAAACAGCGCGGATGTCATCACTCGGATCCCACAACTGCACCTCGCCATGGAGATAACCACGACCCTGAAGCGGAGGATCCAAGAACGCCATGTACGAAGGGTTGTCAACCATGCGCCCTTCATGCTCTTCAGACATGGCGGACACTAGATAGCGGATGGTGTGGCCAACGACGTCCATGCTTTCACTCTGCCACTTGTCAGGGATGATCGGCCCAACCTTCGTCGCGAACAGCAGCACCTCGCTCAGTCGATTGCGATTGGAGTACCCTAGGCCGGTGGTGATCGTAATGGCGAACTGACCGCTGATGTGCACATGGTAGCAGCGCACATCATGGCAGACCAGCCCCGTCCAAAACTCCACTCATTTTCCACACCTAGTGTTTCAAAGACACAGCTGCTCGTGGACAGCAACCAGGCGGTCATCCATGTAATCCTTCACAGTGCAGTCGATGACCCTGTCTGTGCTCTGAATCCAAGCCCCGTCTGATCTCCCAACAAACCTCTGCCCTTCACTCCCCTCCCATCATCCCTTGAAGACGCCCGCAACACAAAGCGGGAAACCGTCGCCGAAAAGCACTCGGGTGGCATCCCCAACTCCAGTGAGCTTTCACCTTTATAGGAAGCCCGGATCCACAGTCTGCCTGGATCCTCATGGTCGACGGTGGAACGGGGCGGGCCCAATTCCCATTTCCCAGTTATGTGATTTTTTTTTATTTTTTTTTTTATTTCCTTCTCTTTTTTTGTCATTGTTCGTTTCCGACATGGGTCTGTTTTTTCTTCTATTTCTTCTGTTTTCTTTTGTTTTGCAAAAAGAAAAAATGTGCTTCGACAATCAAATTCACACAGCTATTGCGCGGAGCAGGTGGGCCGCGGCACAACCACATGCAATCTCAGGAATCTGCTTCACACTCGTTTTCTGTAAATCTCCGCCGTGTGCGTGTGTGTGTGTGTGTGTGTGTGTGTGTGTGTGTGTGTGTGTGTGTGTGTGTGTGTGTGTGTGTGTGCGAGTGTGTGTGTGCATGTGTGTGTGTGTGTGTGTGTGTGTGTGTGTGTGTGTGTGTGTGTGTGTGTGTGTGTGCGGACACACCCGCACACCCGCACACCCGCACTAAGCCCACACACCCACACAGCCACACAGCCACACACCCACACACCCACACACCCACACACCCACACACCCACACACATGATGAACGTCATTCACACTCAACGGTTACATCACCCCTTCCCTCCCCCACCTTTGTTGCTCGCCCCTCCATCACCGCTTCGCCTTGGCATCACACAGACCAGCATTTGAAGGATGAAGTGTCCATCCTTCATTGCACTTGCCATCTCTCCAATCTGGATAGCCATGTCCCCCATCCTATCAGCCATTCTCCCTGCTCCACCGGCACTAGCCTTTGCCAGCATTTCAGCTGCATGATCCAAACCTTCACGGTACACCGGCGTCAAATCTTCCATTGCAGCAATTATTGAAAATTTGGTGGCCGGTCCTTCACCACCACCGACCTTCCCACTCGCCATCCTTCTCATCTTCGAGCTGTTGTCGCTGCCGTCCGAATGGCCTCTATCGCTCCTTCCACCGTCTAATGATGGTTGCGTTGGAGCATTCATGGAATTCGAGTCCAGAGTGTCATCACAAGTCACTGACGGTTTGCGCATGGCCCATTCTACCTCCTCCCACAACGACTTCTCGAAAGACAACTTCACACCCGCCTTCCTTCGCTTCTCCACAGGCAATTCCCAGTAGGACTCCTTGTCAGACCCGCCGCACTTATCGCGGAAGCTTCGCGTCATTGAGAATAGCTAACCATCTCTTCCTGCACTCCTCTGCCCCTCTTGTAAAACCCAGGTCCTTCATTTTCGCCGCCACCCACTCTTGCCGCTCGCCTCTTTTCATATTCCTATCCACAATCGAAGCGTATGCTGTCAATGCGTCATCCTCCCTAATTAAGTGAGCAAGGGCAATCCTCTCCTCCAAAGTCTAGAACTTTGTGCTTTTTTCAGTGGCTTGCTGTTAACGGTTGTGTCCATCGGTGGCGGGGCATCCTCCCTCTCGTCCCTACTGTCATCCTCATTGTCTTCGCTGACATCGAGTGAAGCCAGCGATGGAGATGAGTGTCTGGTGGATGACGACGACTGCTCTCCTCACGAGCTTGTTCTCTCCCTTGCAGCAGAGGCTGGTGTGGCCTCTGATGTTGATGTCACCGACATTGAAGGGGGCAGTGGAGCAAGGCCGCTGATGTTTGATCCGGGCGCGGGCGGTCTTCTTTCCGGGGGCGTCGCTATGCCGAACATCGGTCACTGTGCAGGGCTGGTGCCAACATTCAAAGAAGCTCGCTGCTGTCTTGACAAATCAGCGCAGGCATTCCACATTTTGTCGTTGTATGCCTGGGAAGGAGACATTGGATACGGGCCATCCCTTGCAGCAGGTGGCCTGTACGACATCCCCATGCAACCCCTGTGCCTGCGGGAGGGACCGTATCCACAGTCCCACCACCACCTTGCAGCCCGCCTAAATGACCTGCACTAAATAACGGAGCCGGATTGATGTACATCTCACGTGTCGTCGGATCGTTCGCCCAAGACGGCAGAGTGGACATGGCCCGTGGCACCGCTCCCCCCGCTGGTATTCATCCGATTTTCATCGACCTCCTGACTCAAAAATGATAGGCCCGCCTGGGAGTAGTTCACACGGCCAGGCGCTTCTTCCTCCATATCCTGAGGCCGTTGATGGTGTCCTGCAAGGCCAGCCTCGTTCATATCTGCCCGCCATCTGTGACCATCCATACACACGTCGTGCGACAACTGTTGCTCACCTCCTGGATAGTAGGACGACAATCCGCACGCCGAGGATGACAACACACGTCAACACGCCGAGGACGACAACACACGTGATGACGACGAAAATCATAGCGAAGACAGCAATGACAGCTGCTATGAGCGCGAAGAAGACAACTGCAGATACGCCGGGACGCAGAAGATGGCGGACTCCTGTTGACCGGCACGACAAACCACAGAGCGGCAGTTGCCGTGCACGTCTCCGCCTCAAGTGTTCTACTGGTGGACAACCGCGATGCCAGGCTGCAAGGACCGATGATGACGACAACACTGCTGCGACCGCCGTGGTTCACCTCAGTGGTGGTGGATGGGAGACGCACTGCGGGGAAAACCACGCCTCCATGTGGTCGACCGACATGCAAGGTCGATGGAGGAGTCCACAAACGAGCCTGGACAGCTGTGAACCGGCCGCTCCCTCGCACGACACGATGGACAAACTGTGACACGGAATGCAGTGCGTGTCCGCAGCTGCCGTCCATGAAAGGTGCCTCCTTTGGGATAGGAAAAGGAGTTCACCCTTCGTTTCCCTCAGGGCGGTCGTGCTCGTTCGCCACGACAACGCCTGTGACAAATGAAGGACACGAGCAGACCGGAAATCCACAATGGCAGAATGGAGCATGACTACAACGATCATGTTTGAGAAAGGCAGTGACGATGGTGCCAATGAAGGTTTTTGGGCAGTGATCGAAGTCGGTCGACGTTCGCACGTCGATGGTGGCAGTATGTAAGCCAGTGTCCGTACCTCCCCTCAACTCCGCCACCTCTACGTCAATTTTGTGCAACACGCCAAAAATTCAAGAAAAGAAAAAGAAACGCTGAGGCGGGACACTAGGCAATGAATCCGCGTCCGCTCAACGGCACCGTTCCAATGTCCCACGACGGACCACCTCCAGAAATCCCATGGCACACACGGTCTGCGATGATGTCCGACAATTGCACTACCGGGACCAGGCTCGTGTTCGCTTGGCAACGACCAGCCCAACGTTCCTTGTGCAATGGAGGGGATGCCCCACCCTCCCCACCCTTGCCGTTGAGCCATTGCGCATGGAAAACGAACATGTCAGAGGGGCCCAAACGAGCCGTGGGCCAAGTGGAAACGGCCCTCCGTGGTTGTGCAGGCCATTTTTTCAGGCAAGTGGAGTCCCCAAAATGCAGTGCGAAAGGGTGCGAAACTGCGTGAACCCGGGTGGGGTCCAGCCCTTGAAATCATCGTTCTTGCTCTCGACCGGCTTTCTCTTTGTTGGAAAGGTCTTAATTGCACTACAGTACTTGAGTTCCGCTTGACTCAACTTCCGTTACGGTACATCATTCTTCCTTCGCTTATCTTAGAACATGCGGACCATCCGGTCTTTCAGTTTGAGAGTACTAGCTGGGGAGGATTTGATGAGCTTGTGCAGTACTAGCGCACCTTTGCTCTCGAATAGCTTTTCACAGCATTGCAAAGAACGAGTACCCTGCCCATATTTCACCCTCGTTTCCACAAACAACCTCCTCACCACTCTCCAGTCGTCTTCTCAGATTTCACCACTATTGCGCTGTAAGCTAATATCTCCCTTCTGCCGCTTCAGACTATGGAGTAAGTCAACAACATTGACCGAACCCCATTTGTCACCCCTTTTCTTCCCAATCTCTACAATCCTGCCATCTACTTCCTTGCTCCCTTCGCTAGTTGCATGCTATTTTCTCTTCCGCTGTCTTTCTCTTCTCCCAGGTGTCGCTCGTGATCTCGTCGAACTCTTCCTGACTTTCACCACTCTAATTTTTAAAGACCGTGACCACAATCGTATCGAAGTGCAACAATTTAACAGAAGTTGGCTTGGTGGGGACCAAGGGGGTTGGCTGGGAAAGGTGGTATGGGCAACAGGGGGACGGCCAGGGGAGCGTAGCAAGGGGCTTATATCACCTTTCCTTTCATGAATGGACAAATATAGACCCAGTAATCCCACTCTGACCTGCTGTGGAATTCCTGGAAACTCTTCTCCCCCTTCTGGCACAGGTGGGTCTGCAATGTTATGGTGGAGAGTGAGCCTCAGCAGCATGCTGCCCGCATGGGTACAAGCTAATCAGGCGGGGGGACTACAGAGGCAGACAGAAGCCAAGCTTTCCCTTAAGCCACCAGTACCTGGCCCAGCTATCGAGTCCGAGCCTCGGCCGACCGGTACGCCGACCCGTGCTGAGGCTCGGACTACCGGGCGCAGGCATCCCGAACGTCGGAGTGAAACGAACGAAAAAAAACGGAAAAAAAAAACGGAAAAAAAAAACGGAAAAAAAAAACGGAAAAAAAAAACGAAAAAAAAAACGAAAAAAAGTATGGCAGTGTATAGTCCCACGCTATAGCACCAG